ACTTAATAATCTTCTTTGACATAAAACTACTCGGATGTTTTAATTGATAAAACTATGCATTTTGAAAAGATTTTTACTCTTTATTCTTCAATAAACTCTTTAATACAAACTGTCAACAAATACAGAGAGCAAAGATAAGCAAAGAATTTGAGAATTTGAAAAATGGATAATCATTATGAACATTATGATTCCTTTGTTTACAAAACTTTCAAAATGTATTTATTACTTATCATTAATGATCACTGTATGTCAAAAATGTATTGATTAGTGTCATTCCTGTGTGATTAAATTATTATTACGTATGCTTCCTGTGTGATTTAAAAACCACCAAAACTGTCAAATTGCATAAATGACCCATAAATCATTTTTTTGGATCACTGTATGATTGAAAAATATCAACTGCCAAAATGTATTTATTATTATTTATCATTCCTGTGTGATTAAATAAAGGATATTACATGTGTGCATGGAAATATTGTGCTAACTCCTGGGATATGTAAATTCAAAACTTGAAGATAAAATTCATATCTTCAAGCGACAGCTGTAATGTTCTGTCTATTAAATGACATTGGTGTAAGCAAAAGTCTGTAGTTACATAATCATTAGAAGATCACAAAGTTTGAACATTTCAAGAACATATTAATTATTAATTCATGATTTCTKCATGATTGAATAATACCAAAACTGTCAAAATGCATTTATATTATTTGATGATTCCTGTAAAGATTTAAACATACATGTACCAACTATTAAGAAAAATTAAAACAACAAAATTGCAAACAATTTCTATTGACATATAAAGATGCATTTCTTATTATTCTTATTATTTCTGCATGATTGAAAAATACCAAAACTGTCAAAATGCATTTAACATTATTTATAATTCCTGTATGATTGAAAAATGTCAAAGTTTCAAAATATATTAATAATTAATATTAATTTATGATTTCTGTAAGATTATCTAAGGAAGTTTTATTTTGGTAAATAACCACAAGAATTCAAAATAAGTGGTTTTCTTTACATATAATTATACATATCACTGCTTTGCATCAACAAAGCTGAAGAGAAAAAGTTTAATAATTATTTAATGTAGTGCCATGGATTTTTTTTTGTTAGCAAAAATAAATTAGTCTTGACAAAACATGTACTCAAAATCTGACCAATGTGTCTTGCATCACATCTTCATCCAACATGCATATCTTTTGGGAGCTCCGCTATTAGGTTTTACCTAATTTTTATATTAACATTTATTTCACTTAATTGATACATTTGACATAAGACTTAGGATTTTTCATATTTTGTATAAACTGCAACAGCTATATTTTTGTTGTTATTTTGTATTCCGTACTTGAATTTTCTGGAAGTCATTTTCAACTATTTTGGGGGGTTATAAATTATAATAAATTCACAACTTTACAGAGTGGCTTCCATTGAATTGTCATGCATATAAGCTTAACAAGAGAAGACTGAAAAACATGGTTTTATTAGCAAGTATATATTCCATAATCAATGCACCAGCTATTAACTCAATTGAATTAAGGGGGAGGGGAGGGGCAAATTAATATTGTTAAAAAATATTTAAAATCCCCACCTTTGTCAAATCAATGAAATCAATCAAAGCTAATGAAGTAAAATATACCCTCAACCTCTCCCCTGGTGCAGTCTACTCCTTTTATCCCGGTTTTCATTCTACTATTGGGGTTCCTTTGGAAGAAAAGGTGAAGAGAGGCAGTTTCATTGATCTTTCCTGAGAGAATCAGAGGAACCCCAATCTAAGTAGACTAATTAAAAATCAAAGGAGTTGCCTGCCGAGTAGGCTACAATAGATGATTATAAGGTCAGAGGAGATTTTCTTGTAATATTATCCTCTTCTACTGAGAAGGGTGCTTAAAAATCTGTTATTTTTGTACATCATCACAGACTGTCTGAACCACCACATCAGATTCATGGCTAACTAGTGCAACAGTGTCTGCAACACGGCTTAAAAGACCCAAAACAGAGTCACGATCATAAGRATATTGACTCCAWGCAACATTGGATAGAAATTTTTCAATGGATCCCTCTGCTTYAACTKCACTTTGTGAACCACTTGGCTCATGGGGTAGATRTACAGTGAATATTATACCAGCATGTTTATATGGAGCCTCGTCATTATCACAGTACTTATAAAACAGCAATGGTGATGTTGGTGGGAGTTTTTCAAGATGCATGATCAAAGTGGCTCGGGCACCWTTCTCAAATATATCTGTCAATTTATCATCTAGAATCTTCTTTGTGTCGTCGCCATCTTTCTTGCTGTATTTACTTCCATCTATATAGTTGGATGGACTAACATTTGGGTCAAGGCACCAGGTAAGTGTTTTGGCCAGACAGTCAACCACAGCATGAGCAGAAGGTGGGGCACCCAATAAAATCACCAATGGCTGGTCAGGGTTCTTGTTTCTTAGGTGTGYCAAACTGTGACTCTTCAAGATTCTCCAAAATCGCTTTGTTTGGTTGGGRAAGAGTTTTTGCATTTCTTTCGTTCTATTTTCAAATATTTTTGGGTAGTCGAACTTGGTATCTGTAGTGGACTTGTCCAGGAAATAATAGGAAACAAAAACACCTAAKACCACAACTGAAGTCGCCAAAGTGACATAGAGAAATAAGCTTACTGAGTGTCGACCACCTGAGCGTTCATCTTGGATGTCCTCTAACGACGACGGAATCGTCTTATCATTGCCTCTCAATCTTGTTTCTTCGCAATGCAGGTCAGTGTTGGTAGACATCTTTTCCTGTGTATCCAAAGTTTTAGGCTTGAAATGACTTCCTTCTTCACTACCTTGAGGAGCACCTGAGTGTTCATCTTGGATATCCTCGTTTTTAGGANTATCCAAAATGTTAGGCTCTTCTTCCATACTTTTAAGGAATGAAACTTGTAAGGACAACTGTGCAAGCCAGACAAGAAAAAATATCGACACAATCTTTCGCGTTTTTGTTGAACTAAAATGATGAAAACCAATTAAAATGACTGTCCTATTTTTTCCGAGAAATCGAAAGATTGTCCATATCGATTGGATATCATTGAAATAATGAAAAGTAGACCAATTGAAACAAGCGTAAGATGTTGAAGATTTGATGTTGATAATCACCCACGAGAAACGGAAAAAAAATTATCACATGATCCCAAGCCGACGTTCTAACGTGTGTTTTGATTGGGTGATTGTTATTCATTTCGAACGATGTCCAATCAGAATAGTTGTTCTGTCGACTTCTCGGAAAAAATAGAACGACAGTTTTGATTAGTTTCTTCATCATCAATGCCAATATCAAAAAAGATATSTAAKGAAGTAAGGTAGTATAAAATCAGGCAGGAGAAGTTGGAGATTGTGTCTATAATATGGCGAAATTTTGGCTTCAAACTTTTACGTATTATCTTGTTTTCACTACACTTGTAACGACACAGCTACCATTTGTAGTTTCTACAGATCCATCTTGTGGAGMMGTCATATTTGKTTTCGGGTKCTWTGGAGTAGTTCTTTCATTTGGTGGTTACGRGATTGYAGAACTTTATCGTTGGTATAAGAAATGYCCTTATTCGGAATGCTGTACCGAAAACTGGGTCAAACCAAATATCACGGGACTAAAACGCGACCTCAATGCACGTCTTTTGGGACAACACTTAGTCAGGAATACAGCCTTCACAGCTATCAAAGGACATGTCACTAACGACAATCCAGAGAAAGCCCTTGCGCTGTCATTCAATGGCTGTACTGGTTGCGGAAAGAACTTTGTCAGCAAAATCATTGCTGAAAATCTGTACAAGAAAGGAATGGATAGCGAATATGTGCACTTACTAATTGSAACTCACCACTTCCCACACAAGCACCAATTAGAGAGCTACAAAATCTGGCTGAGTAGATGGGTAATTGCGAACATCGCYAAGTGCCCCAGATCTCTGTTTATATTTGACGAGATGGATAAGATGCCAGAAGGTCTAGTDGATGTTCTAAAACCCTTCTTAGACCACTACCCTGAGGTTGAAGGGGTAGATTGCAGGAAAGCAATATTTATTTTCCTGAGTAACACTGGGGCTAGACTTATCAACAGTGCAGCGCTGGAAAACTGGAGTAAAGGGAAAGATCGAAATGCAATAACTATCAAAGACATGGACAAAATAATCAATTTGGGAGCTTTCAATGAAAAAGGCGGTTTTTGGCATGCAACTCTGATTGAAAAACATCTGATTGATTATTTCATACCTTTCCTTCCACTAGAAAGATCACATATTAAAGAGTGTGCCAGGGTTGATCTTAAACTAAAGCATCATTCCACAAATAAGCACATTTTGGACTTGATTGCAGATGAAATGCAGTATTATCCTGAGGATACTAAAGTATTTTCTACATCTGGATGCAAAAAAGTACCTTCTAAAGTAGACTTGATTATCAACCAAGATGACTAATGATTGCTATGTCACCTTGATCTACAAGTGGATGGGTTATTTAGTTTTCTTTTCTTCCTCTTATTTGATAACTATTAAATAACTATTAAATATCCCACTTCAATCACTAAGATCCACAGCATGTCCCTTTACTACTGGGGACAGATTCAGAACATTCATAACAACACTAACTTCACATAGCTCTAACTCTTGGATGTGCATTTAAGGCCAAAAAAACAGAATTCACATCTTTATAAATCACCCTGTATACATATAATTAGAATCAATCAATTGTTTTTAGATTTTAAAAATACATTATGCATGATCGCCTAAAACTTTTTTTAAGTTAGATAGCATGGTTTTGTTGTTAATTTAATGCATTCAGAATAATTATAATAGATCTAACTGAAAACTTTTATGATTATTATAATAGAAAACACTATCATATTTTCTAATAATTTTGTAGGTAATATTTTAAGTAATGAACGTACATTTATTAGTAAATAAAATATACATCTTGCAGTCTCCGTGCATGATCATACTCATACACGTACCAATTTGATTTGTAAAACTCATAAATAATTAATGAGGAAAACACAATAGAAATCACAACCGTGACAGAGTGTTGTAATATTTGATACAACATGGCCGCTCATTTGTTAACATTACACTAACTCCAAGATATATAGACCACATGAAAAAGTGTGTGGCTATCGCAATGTCTTAGTTTATAAGTACTTTAATTAGTTACACACAATGAGAGCATGAGGCCTAATCATTCAAGTATTTTACACTCACCACAGTTTTTATCAATACAGTATGGGTTGCGTCCTGTAAAAAAATAGTTCAAAGTATCAACATCAATGATGAATGAACAAAACAGTACATGTACACCAATTCAGTGAAATTTCACCTTACCATGGTGCACCCTATGATGACTTGCAGTGTTCAAGATGTATTCCAATGGACCAAGAGATCGTACAACCTAAACAAGGATTTCAAATATTTGTCAGTGTCCAAAAAATAAATTCAGCTAAGGTTCCCACTGGTCAATGCAAAACTGGAGGTTAAGACATGTACCCAGTTCACCTTGAGCTCTAAATCTACAACAACAACCTCACCTCAGTATGAATCCAGAACTGATAAAGCATAGTAAACTGTGCATCCCAAGTAAAAAAAATTCCGGAATTCCGCCGGAATTCCGGGCTGGAATACCGGCGGATTTCCGGACATTCCGGACGGAATTCCACCGGATTTCCGCCGGTATACCGCCGGAATTCCACTAAAAATTCCGCCCGGAGTACCTGGAATTCCGCGGGATTAAGGCCGGCATTCCGGGGAATTCCAGGTACTCCGGGCGGTATTCCAGGCGGTATTCCGGCGGTATTCCGGCGGTATTCCGGCGGTATTCCNTGTTTTAATAGACGAACTTTTCTGACTATCCAAAATGTTAGGCTCTTCTTCCATACTTTTAAGGAATGAAACTTGTAAGGACAACTGTGCAAGCCAGACAAGAAAAAATATCGACACAATCTTTCGCGTTTTTGTTGAACTAAAATGATGAAAACCAATTAAAATGACTGTCCTATTTTTTCCGAGAAATCGAAAGATTGTCCATATCGATTGGATATCATTGAAATAATGAAAAGTAGACCAATTGAAACAAGCGTAAGATGTTGAAGATTTGATGTTGATAATCACCCACGAGAAACGGAAAAAAAATTATCACATGATCCCAAGCCGACGTTCTAACGTGTGTTTTGATTGGGTGATTGTTATTCATTTCGAACGATGTCCAATCAGAATAGTTGTTCTGTCGACTTCTCGGAAAAAATAGAACGACAGTTTTGATTAGTTTCTTCATCATCAATGCCAATATCAAAAAAGATATSTAAKGAAGTAAGGTAGTATAAAATCAGGCAGGAGAAGTTGGAGATTGTGTCTATAATATGGCGAAATTTTGGCTTCAAACTTTTACGTATTATCTTGTTTTCACTACACTTGTAACGACACAGCTACCATTTGTAGTTTCTACAGATCCATCTTGTGGAGMMGTCATATTTGKTTTCGGGTKCTWTGGAGTAGTTCTTTCATTTGGTGGTTACGRGATTGYAGAACTTTATCGTTGGTATAAGAAATGYCCTTATTCGGAATGCTGTACCGAAAACTGGGTCAAACCAAATATCACGGGACTAAAACGCGACCTCAATGCACGTCTTTTGGGACAACACTTAGTCAGGAATACAGCCTTCACAGCTATCAAAGGACATGTCACTAACGACAATCCAGAGAAAGCCCTTGCGCTGTCATTCAATGGCTGTACTGGTTGCGGAAAGAACTTTGTCAGCAAAATCATTGCTGAAAATCTGTACAAGAAAGGAATGGATAGCGAATATGTGCACTTACTAATTGSAACTCACCACTTCCCACACAAGCACCAATTAGAGAGCTACAAAATCTGGCTGAGTAGATGGGTAATTGCGAACATCGCYAAGTGCCCCAGATCTCTGTTTATATTTGACGAGATGGATAAGATGCCAGAAGGTCTAGTTGATGTTCTAAAACCCTTCTTAGACCACTACCCTGAGGTTGAAGGGGTAGATTGCAGGAAAGCAATATTTATTTTCCTGAGTAACACTGGGGCTAGACTTATCAACAGTGCAGCGCTGGAAAACTGGCGTAAAGGGAAAGATCGAAATGCAATAACTATCAAAGACATGGACAAAATCATCAATTTGGGAGCGTTCAATGAAAAAGGTGGTTTTTGGCATGCAACTCTGATTGAAAAACATCTGATTGACTATTTCATACCTTTCCTTCCACTAGAAAGATCACATGTTAAAGAGTGTGCCAGGGTTGATCTTAAACTAAAGCATCATTCCACAAATAAGCACATTTTGGCCTTGATTGCAGATGAAATGCAGTATTATCCTGAGGACACTAAAGTATTTTCTACATCTGGATGCAAAAAAGTACCTTCTAAAGTAGACTTGATTATCAACCAAGATGACTAATGATTGCTATGTCACCTTCATCTACAAGTGGATGGGTTATTTAGTTTTCTTTTCTTTCTCTTATTAACTATTAAATAACTATTAAATATCCCACTTCAATCACTAAGATCCACAGCATGTCCCTTCCCTACTGGGGACAGATTCAGAACATTAATAACAACACTAACGTCACATAGCTCTAACTCTTGGATGTGCATTTAAGGCCAAAAAAAGAAGAATTCACATCTTTATAAATCACCCTGTATACATATAATTAGAATCAATCAATTGTTTTTAGATTTTCAAAATACGTTATGCATGATCGCCTAAAACTTTATTAAAGTTAGATAGCATGGTTTTATCATTAATAATTCAGAACAATTATAATAGATCTAACTGAAAATTTTTATGGTTATTAATAATAGAAAATACAATCATATTTTCTAATAATTTTATAGGTAATATTTAGTGATGAATGTACATTTATTAGTAAATAAAATATACTTGCAGTCTCCATGCATGATTACTCATACAATACACAGGTAACCCAGTCTATTTGTGAAATGAATATGAGGACCACATGGCACTATGTTCCTTCGTAGTGCCATGCAGTCCTCATATTCATATCTTTACATTATTCTATTACCACAACCCAACATCTATTTCACCCCGACCTGCTCCCAGTCTGGCCTTGTAGCTCAGCTGATAGAGCATCGGTAGTACAAATCCAAAGGTCGTGGGTCCGAATCCCAGCGAGGTCGGAAATTAATTTTTCCTAAGGGTCTTTCTCACGGAATTGCCTCCTTCTAAGCACTATAACTTTCTTTCATTTCTATAYTTGTGAAATGGAATGTATTAGCATATTATCCAAAGAAGAGGACCAAAAGTCTCCTAAAAACACTTTAAATTCCAAGATTATTGGGTATGGCACTTGAGTCTTCAGTAAAACATATATAATCCTTTTGTTTCCCTGGAGCCTTGCCGTCAGTTGTTATAAGACAGATGAAAGTGTGCTATGGAATATTTCATATTCATTTTTAATTATTTTTCTCTATTTTCTGCTATTTTATAGCAGTATTTGAGTACACTTAAAGAATCGGTTATATAACCCCTCCCACCCTCCTCCCCTGGTGCAGGCTACTCCTTTACTATTGGGGTTCCTTTGGAAAAAAAGGTGAAGAGAGGTACTGGGGATGTTTGGTTCCAGTTTCATTAGTCTTTCTTGGGAGTATCAGAGGAACCTCAATCTAAGCAGAATAATTATAAATCAAAGGAGTTGCCTACGGAGGAGGCTAGATGACTATGAGGTCAGAGGAGGATTTCTTGTCCTTTGCTACTGAGCTGGGTGCTGATCTGTTATTTTTGCACATAATCACATACTGTCTGAACCACCTCACCAGATTCATGACTCACCAGTGCAACAGTGTCTGCAATACGGCTTAAAAGAGCTGAAATAGAATCACTTTCATAAGGGTATTTACTCCAAGCGACATCAGACAGAAATGTTTCAATGGTTCCCTCGGCTTCTACTGGAAGCAATGAAACATTGGGTTCCTGTGGTAAGTAAACTGTGAATATTATACCAGCATGTTTATATGGAGCCTCGTCATTATCACAGTACTTATAAAACAGGAGTGGCGATGGTGGAGGAAGTTGTTCAAGGTGCATGACTAAAGCTGAACGGACACCCTTCTTGAAAATATCCATTAGTTCATCATCAAGGATTTTCTTTGTGTCGTCGCCATCATCCTTGTGRTATTTAGCTCCATCTATAAAGTTAGATGGACTAACATTTGGGTCAAGGCACCAGGCAAGTTTCTTGGCCAAACAGTCAACCACAGCATGAGCAGAAGGTGGGGCACCTAATAAAAACACTAATGGCTGGGATGGTTTCTTATTTCGTAGATGTGCAAGACCACGACTCCTTACAATYTTCCAAAATCTCTCTGTCTGGTTTGGAAAAAGTTCTTGTATTTCTTTTATTCTATTTTCAAATATTTTTTTGTAGTTAAAGTTATCATCTGAGTTGGTCATGTCCAGGAATCCTGGTCGAATTTCCTCAGGCCAATAATAAGCAATAAAAACAGCTAAAGCAACAACTGAAATCCCTGAAATGGCATAGCCAAATACTGTACACAAAACCGAGCGCTTAACTGGGATATTGTCTGTTTTAGTAGCCCTTTTAGGAACATTTTTTCCTTCTTTTAATGTAGGCTGCTTAATGAGACTTCCTGAAGTAGTTTGTTGTGGAGTTTGTAATCTTGAATCATCTTGTAATTTAGTACTCTTGCTTCGGCGTTTTGCATGATCGTCAGTATTTTCTTTTTGTTTATCGTTATTTGAATCGTAGACAATGTCAGTTTCGCTTGAATCCTCGACCTCAATTGTGTCATCTCCACAAGAATCGTGGTCTCTATACCCTTCGACATTTTCTTTAGTTTTCGGCGACTCCTTCTTCTTGCCTTTCCTTTGCTTTCCTTTCCCCGACATTCTTATTGGACTGGCTCTCATTAAAATAGAGAAAACTATACTTTCAACAAAGTTTTTATGATGAAAACTTCAGTAAACTGGCAAACAAACCATGTGTGTGCACCAAAGGTCCAAAGTGTTCAAACGTAAATATTTCTATCGAGTATCTTGATTGGTCGAAAAGAATTCTAACCAATCAAATACATTGTTATATATCATTCCGGGAAACTTTTGCACTTCCTGTGAACTTTCCGGTTTTCTAACGCAAACATTCATTGGACAAAAATATATACTCCAATCAAAATAGATGTTCTATCTAATTCTGGGAATACACCGGGGAAAGCATTTATTCTTTCGAGCCGATAAAAGAGCCAATTTGATTGGACGTCTTGTGAATGAAAAAGAAACGACCAATCAGAGTAAGCGTTAGAATGTTCAGTTTGTGTTTTTAGTGAAGATCGAKCATGGCTAAATTTTGGCTGCAATCTTTTTTATTTTATCTAGTTTTTACTGCCGTAAATACTCTTCCATTCGCTGTAATACCGATTGGAGTTGGACTAGGAGGAATTGCGCTGTATAAAGCTTTGAATTGTCGTTTTTCYGAATGTTGCACAGAGAAGTGGGTCAAACCGAACATATCCGGACTTCAACATGACCTCGAAAATCGTCTTTTYGGACAACATTTAGTCACAAATATAGTCTACAAAGCTGTTAAAGGACATCTCACCAACGATAAACCACAGAAAGCGCTTGCTCTATCCTTCAATGGATGGACTGGTAGCGGAAAGAACTTTGTCAGCAAAATCATTGNTAGAGACATTTAGATTCTGAAATTTTTACTTTACCGCTGACTTCAAACCGCGGTCTGAGGTTAGGCGTTTGACGTTTCACGTAAGTGCCGGTTAGGACATTTAGATTTTCCGGTATGTCATGTTACGTGGGGATCACGAGGAACTATGGGTACAGAAATCCAATATGGCGTACTCTCGAAGGTGAGCTTGAAATATGTATTAAATACTTTAAATTTCAGCGACATGAATACCTGTTATATTAATTATCGTCTTTTACAATATTCTAGAAAAGATTTGGATGACATCTTAACAGTTATGATGTATCAGGACAGTAGTTCTGACGAGGATTCTAGTGATAGTGACGATGACCTTGATCTCCTTTTTCTTGAAACTCTTTTTCCAACACCAGAAGCATCATGTACTCCTCGACTAAAGCTGGAAGACCTTAGTGACACTCAATGTCAACAGATGTTTAGGTATTAAGATAAGCTTAATGAAAATTTACTTCATAATGAGTCTAAACCGGCTTTGTTTGAACTTATATAAGATTTGAAAAGCAAGATCTATATCGACTAAGAGATGCTTTGCAAGTCCCAGCAAATTACATATGTTCTCAAGGGACGAAAGCCACTGGACTAGAGGGTCTTTTAATAATGCTACGTCGCTTAGCTTATCCAAATCGTTGGTGCGATCTGCAGTCGTTATTTGGAAGAAGTGAATCGGAACTCAGTCTTATTTTCAACGAAGTAAGCATTATGCTATCTTGGTTTGTGCTTAAGCTGTGTTATTTGACTTAAATTTTAATTGGTATTTTGAAAATTTTGCCTTTAAAGCTCAAAATATATTTGCAGTATTCGTTGAAAAACCTMTGTCCTGTACATTTCGAATTAGGTGATTGATGACATCTATGAAAGCCACCATCATTTAATTGATGCACTTGATTTGGTTTGGCTTGATCCACAAACCTTCTCACAAGCTATTCATGCCAAGGGTGCACCACTGGACCAATGCTGGGGTTTCATAGATGGGACCCCACGACCAATTGCACGACCAATTAGAAGCCAAAGAATCATGTATAGTGGGCATAAAAGGGTTCACTGCTTGAAATTTCAGGTAGATGCAATTTTATAAAAGGTCTGCTTCCTAAAATGAGTCCATTGAGATATTTAAATGAAGGTGGAGTAAGTTTGTAGAGTACCTCTTAAATGAATACAGAATGAAATTGTGTTTGTTAGTCAGTGCGTGCCCCCAATGGCTTGCATGCCAACATATCAGCTAAGCATAATTATTAAGTTATGATCAACTTTTATCTGAAAACCTGAACATCTTGTGACTTGTCACTGAGGTCTTTCAGCTTTAGTCAAGAAGCATTCTTGGCTTTGGGTACAGTTGAGAAAGAACAGTTGAGAAAGAATTTCAAGAAAAATAAACAATAGCTAGACTACATGTATACAATGTATATAAATCAAAGGAGTTAGCATGCATGTCACTAACAAGGACAAATAAAGCCAAAAAAGTGAAAGTGGTCTGTTATGTTAAAACCTTTGTTTATTTGTATTATTTTGTAAACACTAATTTATTTTCTAGAGCAGTTTTCATAAGATGTTTTGAATTCATTTGTTTCAGCTAATTTTTGGTGCATGTTATGTTAGATCAATGGTTTCTTTGTTTCTAGTCTGTGCAGGCTCCCAATGGYCTGATAGCACATCTCTTTGGACCTATAGAGGGCAGAAGGCATGATGCTTTCATGCTTGGGGAGAGTGGTCTTGCTGACAAGCTGAGGCCACTCCAGAGGCCTAATGGTGAACCATATGTAATCTATGGTGATCCTGCATATGGTCTCACAAGAAACATCCTTGCCCCCTTCCGAGGTGCACAGCTTACTCATGATCAACAAGAATTCAACAGGAGAATGAGCAAACTTAGAGTAGCAGTTGAATGGGGTTTTGGAAAAATTTGTCAACAATTTGCTTTTCTTGATTTCAAAAAAAATATGAAAGTTTTACTTCAACCAGTGGGCAAATATTATGTGGTGGCAGCCTTACTGACAAACTGCCATACATGTTTGTACAATTCACAGACAGGAAGATATTTTGAATTATACCCCCCAAGTTTAGAGGACTATTTGTCAAACACTAGATAAAAAGAGAGCAAAATAGTGTTTTTCATAAACCCATGAAATAAAAGATACGTACATGTAATAAGTAGCAATAGCCACTCAAACAAAAGAAAACAATAGAATTAGAGTGCAATAGTAGTTAAAATGACAACATTTATTTCACCGGTTTATGAAAATCACACTAGTAAGTCAAGACATGAATCAAAAGTATATGTAACATTTCTTTATGTTGCTTCTGCATGATATTTGAATGCTTTCTTTACAAATAAAGCAATATGCAATATGTTAATAACTGTAATAATATCTTATGTAAGTTTTCATTAAAAATACCATATAAATGTAACATCTTTATGTAAATATGTTTCAAAATGTGAATACTGATGAGTTTTACATTTTCTTTTTCATAAAAGATATCATCAGCCTCCTCTCCTCCAGCTCCAACTGCAATTTTTCTTCTCTTTCTCTTGTGTCCATCTCAAACTTTTTTTTTTGGAATTCAAGTTCCATGCGTCTCATTTCGAGCTCTTTTGATTTTAAATCTGATTTTTGCTGGTACTTTTCGGAAAGTACCTCCAATGCTGTTAATTTAGTTAATCTCTTTCTTACAGGCTTTTTAGAACCTAATTTAAAAAAAAAAAACAATATATTACATACATTACAAGTAAGATTGTAAAATGGCCAATGATGTGATAAAAATCAGATATAAAGCTGTAATGCTGATTCCAATCATAACAATTATCATTCTGCTGTGGAACAACTTCATCCAGCATCAGGAGAGTTTTYCATTTACATGATTTTAAAATACCATTTTGGTGATTTTAACACACATCAACATAATTTGATTGGGAAAGTATTTTATTAAATGGGAAAGTACAGATATTAGTGAGGAGGTACATATTCAAATGGGAAAGATAATAATAACTTAGTGTTGTATTTTATTTGACCAGTTTGCAAGCACTCCACATTTCAAGTTAGAATCACCCAGCTACAAAGTAGTGCATAACTCACATGTTGGTGTTTTACTGGGACTCTCATCTGTATCAGATCCAGATCCTGCACTTTCATCACTGTCATGACTTCTCTCTGAAATTTTTCATATAAGTAATTATAATCAAAACAATAATTTATTAGAATGCGAAATAATAGAGATAATGATTATAGGAATTTAATATAGGAATGTTTATATCAACCTCTTTCCGTTAGAAAACTGACTTACAGGTAAGATAGGTAATTGTCATACACAATATATAATAGTACAAATATAAAAACAAACCCAGAAAAATAATTGACTATAAAAACTTACTTGCTAGCCCAGATRCAGCTGCATCTCTCATTTCTATCCCCTTTTCTGTATCTTCCCTGTCTTTTTTCTTCTTTTTTTCCTTCTCATGACGCTTTTTTTGTTTAAGTTCCTCCATGTCTCGTTTGTAAGTCGATATATCTTGWAGTAATTGTTCGAGTTCTGTATATTCTTCCTCTGTTCCTGATCTGAAAATATTTTAACTTACTTTAGTCGTACTTTAACCTTATCAAACATCTTTTTTTTCATTGTATTTAAGCTTACTTTTTTAAAGCCTTTTTGTCGTCTTGTTTGTACTTCTCTATCAAACGATCAAGTCGTTCTCTACAGCCTCTCCCTTTGATAACAACGATTTTGTCACCATCACTAAAATGAGAGCCCAAAGTTATGGCAATCTCCTCCCACTCCGATGAAGACGAAGGGCTTTTCCCTAGCACCTCTTTGCAAAGAGCTATATCTTGTGCAGTCTGTGGCCAACGAAAAGGCATCTACAAAATTATGTAATTTTTATGTCTAGAAGAAACTTTACAGAAAAAAAAGTGAATTAAATCTGATTTTAACATCTGCCTTGAAGTCCTAGGCGACGGCTGCCATGTTTGCTTTTCATTCATTACGAAAATTTGTAAATTTGCAAGTTATTTGACTATTGAGTACACACAAACTATCAAAGTTAAATCGTTGAGATATATAAAAACTTTTTATAAGGACCAAACGCGACTTTAAAACGATTTTATGTCGAAAAAACTCTGCGGGAAACCACTTACCTCTGGAGAGGGTTCTTGACGTAAAAACGTGTAGATTGAACGGCAAACTTGACGGCAAGCACGTCATCACGTGACATCTTGACGTTCGAAGTCAGCGGTAAAGTAAAAATTTCAGAATCTAAATGTCTCTATTCCTCAATTAATGTACCCCGGAATTCCGGCGGAATGCTAGCCAACCAGGGAAACTCCAGCTACTCCGGCTGCAAATCTGTCGGAATGCCACCAGAATTCCAAGTGAAAGTGGAATAAATGACCACGCAGTTGTTCATCTTGAAAAATATTTATTGAAATAATGTCAATGTCGCAGTCCATTCGCCCAT